GTATCTGCAAGAAGAATTATTTTGTCTACCTTTCCATTTAATTTTGTCTTGAATAAGCAACTACTATCTGTCAGACTCTATTCTAAGTTCTGGTGAAACAATGACAAAAAAAGAAAGAAAGAAAGAAAGAAACAGTTCTTATCCTCAAGGAATTTACCTAATCTTCCCAGGTGGAAATACTTTCTTCCTGTTCAAATTACCTTGTTTTCACTTATTTGTTTGCTTGTGATATCTCCCAGTGGTGTGTAAGCACCTGAGGGGCAGGGATTATTTCATTTCTGTCTTAGTATCCCAAATGTCTGTTATAGACACTTTATATATACTAGGATGAGAAAACATGTACAAAGATACTAAATACAAAATAAAATACAAAGTAAATACAAAATAATTTCTGGTGTGCAGGGAAGTAAGTAACAACTAGTGGGGATTAGGAGATGCCTCTTGTAGCAAGTAGCACTTGAACTGATCATTGAAGGCAGCCAGGAATTTGAAGAGGTAGAGTAGGCATGGAGATGGCCTATGACAAGGCACCAAATTGGGAGATAGAATGCCATGTACAAGGACCAAAAAGTAGTCCAGTTTGTTGAGTGGGGGGAGTATAATGAAATCACTCTAAAAAGTCGGATTGTGAAGAGATTTAAATGTTAAATGGAAGGTGATGTGGAACATGGATTGTTGTGAAAACTGCAAATGAGCAAATCTCAGAATTATTCATCAACTCACTTCTCAAAGATACTACAATTTCTTTTTTTTTTGGCTAGGCAATGGGGTTAAGTGACTTGCCCAGGGTCACATAGCTAGTAAGTATCAAAGGTCAAATCTGAACTCAAGTCCTTCTGACTCCAGAGCTGGTGCTCTATCCACTGTGCCACCTAGCTGCCCCTCCGATTCTTTTCTGAGTTCTGTCTCCTGCTAAACAGGTAATAACTTCTCTCCACCAAAAACTAAAATATATTACTGGTCTAAAAAATGAGCAGTCTGTGACTATTTGAACTTATTGAGTTTGGTTTTTTTTTTAATTGTTGGGATCCTAATATCATAGAACAGGATCTGTATCTGAATCTCAGCTTTGCTACTGGTGACCTTAGGAAAGTCACTGAACCTCCCTGGGTCTCAGTTTTCCTTATCGCTAAAATGTGAGAGTTGGGGTGGATGATTTCTAAAGGTCTTTTTCAATTTTAAATTGATGACTCCCTTCAATTTGCAAATAAGAAAATGGAGGTCAAGACAGATTAAATGGCTTACTCAAAGTCACAAAGATACTTAAAAACAAAATATATAAAAAGTAGATTCAAAATCATTTTTAGTGTGGGGAGGCAGGGATGGCAGTCACAACTGGGAAAGGATGCTATGGAAAAGAGAAGCCTCCTGTAGGAAGTAGCATTTGAACAGAGTTTTAAAAGGAGCAAGGGATTTGAAGAGGCAAAGGTAGGTATGGAGACAGCCTATGAAAAGTCATGGAGGGGAGATAGACTATAATGTTCCAGAATAGCACCAGAGCTAAGATTTCTACCCAAGCTCTCTGACTCCAGGATTTGACATTTTTTCCTTCCAGTATTTCCCAGGACCAAGTAATCATTTTCTATGTAAATCCTACAGTTAAGATCTTTTGAAGTTTGAAAGGTCAAGTTAATCTAATGTTTCTACTTAACCCTCTCCCATTTGGAGGACAAAACTGGAAATATGGAGATATTGGACCCATCATTGCAATATCACACCAAATCTGCCATCTCCAAAGGAAAATTCTGCAATCACACCTGGAAAGTGTAATGAAATTCCCACAGTGAACACTGTTAAAGACATTGAGGTAAGAGAACAAGGGAGGATAAGCAATAAGAAACAGGACCTTTAATTAAATAAACATTTGCCAAGCATTTACTATTGGAAAAGCAAGAGGAAAAAGATGTCAATTAACAGAGAAAGTAGAAACAAACTTTTTTTTTCTTTTGGGGTCAGTCTGGAAGTAGTAATTAATGTGATGGACAGGTGGTGAAGTGGATAGAGCCTGAAGTCAGGAAGATTTGAGTTCAAATGGGACCTCAGAAGCTTACTAGTTATGTGACCCTGGGCAAGTCACCTAACCCCTATTTGCCTCAGTTCCTTATCTGTAAAATCGGGACACACTGGAAAAGGAAATGGCAAACCACTCCAGTAACTTTGCCAAGAAAACTCTATGGACAAAGTCCAAGGAGTCATGTAGAGTCAGACATGACTGAACAACAATTGTGCCAAATGATAGGGATGGAAAGGAAAGCACAAACAGTTCCTGCCCTCCAGGAGCTCACGTTCTAAGGGAGACTTGTGAATACACATACACACATATATACATATATATGTATGTAAACATATACAGGATACATCAAATAGATACAAAGTAACTTTAGAGAGGAAAACAGAAGCTTCCCTCTTGCAGAAGATGCCACTTAAGCCCAATCTTGAAGTAGAATAGAGATTCCAAAATGCACAGATGTGGAATGCAATGCAAAAGTTCCCAAAGAGGAAGGAGATGAAGTATCCTTTACTAGCAACAGCAACTAGGTCAGAGTAAGTGGATCATAGATTTCCTGTATTTTAGGAGTAAAATGTAAGAAGACTGGAAAGGTAGGAAGGCAGGGTCCAGGTTGTGAAGTGTTTTAAATGCCAAAGAACTTTATATCTGATCCTAAAGTTAATAGGGAGACTGTGCAAGTTTATTGAGTAGGGGTAGAAGGTCGTGGCATGTATAGGCCTATTTAGGAAAATCACTTTAGAAGATAAATGGAGGAAGGATTGGAGTAGAAAGAGACTAAGGAGAGAGACAAATCTGAAAACTAGGAGGCTATTGTAGTAGTCCTGGCAAGAGATAATGAGGATCTTCATGAGGGAGGTGGCTATATGAGTTAAGAGAAAGGGATTTATAGGAAATAGATGAAGACAAAGATTTGACAACAAATTGTATTAAATGGAATAAGATTAAGGATCTGAGGATAAACAAAGGATGTGAGTTTATATTCTATAGGGGGAGGTTTGTTGTTCAGTCTTTCAGTTATATGCAACTCCTTGTGTCTTCAATTGTGTGTGTGATCCTTTTACAGTTTTGGCAGAAACAGCATGGCAGAAAAGGGAGTATAGGTTAAAGATCACACAGTTTTTAGACCATCTATAAACATTAACTTTACTGTTTTTGCTGTTCAGTCATGTCCAACTCTTCATGACCCCATTTAGGGTTTTCTTAGCAAAAATACTTAGCAAAGACTGGCCATTTCTTTGTCCAGCTCGTTTTATAGATGAGGAAATTGGGGCAAACAGAGTTAAGTGACTTGCCCATCTAGGGCAAGTGTCTGAGGCCAGATTTGACCTTAAGAAGATGTGTTTTTCTAATCGAGGCCTGGTACTCTATTCACTGTGCCACCTAGCTGCTCCAGCAAGAGATATAAGAATGACTTAAACAGTCAGATGAGTAGAAAATGAGATTCTCTTTTGCCTCCACTACCTTGAAAACCATAGTTAATGGGGGGGAGATTGTTAAGCATTAATAAATGCTTAACATTTATTAAGAAACATTAGCATGTTTCAGATGCTATGCTGAGTACCTTATAAATATTATCTCATTTGATCTTCACAACTATTACAATCCTCATTTTACAGTTGAGGAAACTATAATGCTTAACTCAACTATAAGAGGTCAAGTGACTTTCCCAGGATCATATAGCAAGAAAGTGTCTGAGGCCTTTTTTGAACTGTCAGTCAAACATTTGTTAAATACTAAGACTGAGGTCTTCCTGAGAGAATTAGAGAAGGAAACCTGTAGGGCTTAAATTCTTTGTTTGTTTTTTACTATGGTTTTTATTGATACCTTTTATCAATAAATCACCAAAGGCATTTACACCCTCCAGATTGAACCACACCTTGTGACAAAGAAAAACAATTTAGCAAAATCTATCAGTGTATATGAATTATCTTATATCTTATAGATACTACCTTAATAGCTCCCAACCTGTCTTCTTTTTCGGGAGTGGGAGAGGGGGAGAGGGGGGAATAGAGGAATAGTATGTTTTATTATGTTTTCTGGGACCTTCATCGGTTCTTCTTCTTGGTGAAAGCGTTCATCTTTGAGCACTTTCCTCCTGTCCTCAAAACGCTGAAAAATGTGCTCTGTCTCTGAGAAGACGGCTAAACTGAGTGTGGGAAGGGTTGAGAGCTCATAAATTAGATTATATGGAACACTTTGCAAAGCGTAGAGTGATATACAAATGAAAATTTTTTTTTAAATCATTTTTATTGCTTCAACCTCACAAGTATGCAAGTGGGAAGGATGCGGCTGGCGACCAGCTGCCCTTCCCTAGTTCAGAGTTCACAGAATTGATTTAGGTTAGACGGGGCTTAGGCGTCTGGGAGGTCTCAGCTCCCTGCCCTAGGCAAGTAGCGCAGTTTCCCACGCGTGGACCCCCACAGCGTGGCGGCGAGAACGACTCGTTCTGCACTTTGGGAGCCCAGCAGAGGACGCGTGCAGTCCCGAGCACAGCGGGTGCCTCTGGGTGCGGGTTTCTATTCCCGAGGCCATATGCTCCCTAAGCTAAACGACCCCCCACCGGCCATTCAAAGGGAAACACAGCTCCTTAGCCCCCGGCATCAATCCCCCCCCGCCCCACCAGCCGCTTAGGCGTTTCTCCCGCCCCCCACGCCTCCTCCCCAAAACGCCCCAGCTCCCGCTCTCTTGACGTTTTACAGGAACGCCGGAGCTTTCCCTAGTCCCCGCCCCTCCCCCCACGCCCGCCACGCGATTGGCCAGCCGCGCTGACAGCGCCCCCAGTCACGCCTCCGGCCCGGCGAATTCGGGGCGGCGAGAGGCGGGGCCAGAGTGGAGCGCTACCGCAGGGAGCAGGAGGCTGGGGAGGGGGCGGGGAGAGGACCCAGTGCCGAGGGGTGGGAGGGGGCCTCGTGGATAAAGGGGGCGGTCCCAACCGCGGCCCAGGATTCCACCCGCAGCGGCAGAGGCTGAGAGCTCGCGCCGGCTACGCCGCCGCCTGTGCTCGTCCCTCTCCCCCTGTCGCCCGCCGCCCCCAGTCGCCCGGGAGACGCGCCGCGAGCGCCAGCCGAGTCAGAGCCGGCTTCATGGCAGCCGCGAAGAAGGCGGTGTTGGGGCCGTTGGTGGGGGCCGTTGATCAGGGCACTAGCTCCACGCGCTTTCTGGTGAGCCCCGGGACCCGGGGATGACATGAGGAGGATGCCGGGGCCTGGGGAGGAGGCGGGCGGCCGGGGCGAGGTGGCCTGGGAGGTGGGGAAGCGTGACAGGGACGCGGGGGAGGAAGGGCGAGGGCGCAGGGGCGGCTGCCCTCCTGCTCCCCGCCAGCCACCCCCATGCCACCCCCGGCCCGAGCCTGGGTCAGCCTCAGGCGGCCGAAGGGAAGGGCGTCCCTTGGGCAGGGAGGCGATGACCGTCCTCAGGAGTGTGGCTGCCCCGCGCCTCGAGCCCTCGCACCCTGCTCCTCCGCCCCCAGCCCTGCCCCCGCTTGTTTCTTTCCTGCACGGGCATGACTTGTATAGGACACCCTTCCCGCCGGGGCACGCTCGTGTACGAAAGGGGCCTGGTGAAATAAGACTTCTCACCCCCCCACCCCCCATGCTGCATTGTTGGCTCCAGGAAACACAGAATTACGGGGAACCCGGAATGTGGAAAGGGGGTGTGGATGTGTGGAAGCGGGGAGGAAACTTTGCCCCCGGATCCGAGGTTCTGCGCTGCCTGGGCCACAACGTGTGACCTGCAGGTTGTCCTGCAAGAGGACTTTGCGTGAAGGAAATTTGGCCTCTTGGTCTCTGGATGTCCTTGGGTTGGGGGTGAAAACTGTGTCATTGACTGTGGTAGCCTAATACGGTGCTCCCAGAAGAGGGGTAGAAAGAATCATTATTGCACTGTCATTCTTAACGATAAAAAGGAGTGCTAAGAGAAAAAAATATGAATTTGGTCAGTGGTTATTACTGTGCATTATTTATGTCTGACTTTCTTGTTTTCAGAAAACTCTTGACACTTCGGTTCCATTAGTTTGACTGCTAGGAACAGATGATTTCCCTCTCTACTCGGGACAGCACTACACAAATAAATAAAATAAGTGTTTTATTTAGCGTTTATGACATTTTTATGGTCCTATCCACTCTGAGACTAATCTGAGTTTTTATACAGTAAGGAAATATGCTTTAAATGACCTAAAACTGAACTAGTATCAGTGTTACTAAGTTTATTAAAAAATGAGTTGTTTGAAATTGCTTATTGCTTTTAGTGATATTGTCTGACTACCAGCAAATTAAAATGTTGATATTCACCTTCTTTTAACCTCTCCATTCAGTTTATTTCTTCTACCACAGATGATTTTTTCAATAGATAAATATTAATAGAACTTTTTGTACAGTACTATTTTGCTATGTTATTGGAATTTGCAGTTAGTTTCTTGATTCAAAGATTAGCCTCATTTCTTAATCTCTAGTTTGATCCTAATAGAGAATTTCAGTCCAGTTTTTGTTTGACATATGTGAAAACTACCAACAGATAGTTGTATTGCTTTCCAAATCTCTTCAGTATCCTTTGGGTAATCTAATCTTTGGGTAAGATAAGCTTAATATTCCATTTTTACACATACAGATATAATCCTAATTCATATTTAAATAAGATGTATAAATAACATAAGACTTTCTAGTCAAATGTATATTGAATTGAAATTGTTGGTCAAAACCTGATGGTTTGTCTTCTACAAGGAATGGTTACTAAGTTCATGTTACTCAAGTACAGCATCTCAGTGGTGCATGAATTTGGATTCATCTTTTGTATTCTTAACTAAACTTCCTTCTGTTTGCCTTATTTCTCCATCACTTTTTTTTTGGTGAGGCAGTTGGGGTTAAGTGACTTGCCCAGGGTCACACAGCTAAGTGAGTGTTATTGTCTGAGGTTGGATTTGAACTCAGGTCCTCCTGACTCCCAACGGCCAGTGCTCCATCCACTGTGCCACCTAGCTGCCCCAATTCTAAATATTTTCATCTTAACTGTAAGATGCCATCTGGTATGGTGCTTTGCCGTCTTGTAATGTTTTTGATATAGTTAATGAAGAGTAGAGAATGTAGAGCTCTTATAGAATAATTGATAAGAAGGTGAGGATGGTGCTTAAAAATGATCTTCTGTGCCCCAAACAAGATCCGACTGGTACAGCTACTAAGACATAGTTTCTATATGCTGAATTGTTTTCTTAAAACATATTGAATGACTCTTGAGCTAATTCCCAGAAGTTACTGCATTCAGTGTCCTGTGATGCAATCATGACTCAAAGTATAATTTTTTTTTGAAGTATAATTGTTAATCTCTTCCCCTGTTAAGAATGAAATGAGTAGTGACAATCATGTATGAGGAAGCTTTTAAATTTCTGGTATTTGCCAATCAAAGATTATTGTTTTTATTAATCTACTTGTTGGATTCAGTTAAGAATTTTTGCACTGGTGAAGACTGATGGTAACTGTAAGGTAGTCTAATTTTTCTTATGGGTCAAATGAATTTCACATGTACACAAAGTTCTGTTTTTTTTGTAACAACTCAGGAAATCTTTTTATACTCATTAACTAGATGTGTTTAGCTGAATTACTAAAGAGAAATATAATGATATATAATTTCAGAAAGTTCTTATCTTCCTCAATTTGTTATTCTATTAAGTGAAAAAGAATTAATCTTGGGTCATGTTGCAAATGCTTTTTGTCATGAGAAGGATTTACAACCTTTTTATCTTTAGAGTTAGTATTGGCATGCATCTGTTTGGAGTGCAGAGTATAAACTTCTTGGAAAAGTATTTAGTGTAATAGGTTTTAGGGAGGGACCATTTTGTTGTTGGGACCAGTGGATTCAGTATACATAGGTCGTTGTTTTCAAAACTTCCTCAACTCAGTTTGGTCACTTAATTGTGTGGGGTTTTTTTGTTGTTGTTATTAACCAAGTTCTTCCATTAAATTACTTACCATGGGATAGATTTTTGTGCTCTAAAACTCTAGCATAGTTTACCAACCCGCGAAATGTGTCTATCATTTGAAGATCTACATTATGTTAGAAGCCAGCCTCTTCACCAGGTTGGCTTCAGGGTGAGGAGGTTTTTTTTCCATCATTTCAATTCTTGAAGTCCTAAGTCCTAAGAAGGATTTTCTGCATTGTTAAAGAAAATACACTAAATTACATATGCTTGTAATATCAACATGTAAATATTACTTGTGTTGAGCTTTTCTGAAAAGTATTAGTCAATTTTATTATAATAGTTTGAAGCTTTTTAAGCATTAGCAGATGGGACTGTATGGAGTCATTTGTCATTTTATGGTCACTGATATTTTATGGCTTTGTCGTAATTTTTTTTAACCACTCTATATAGAAAAGTTGACTAGAAATTTTTCTAGTTGCTATTTTGTATAATGGTACTTTTTTTCTGTTCTGGTCATTGTTTCTGTACTTGAATAACCCCCTTCTCTTTCCTTTCTTCCATATTTGTTAAGCATTCTATTTCTATAATCATCTGTTCAGGATTGGAGCATTTGTGCATAGTGAGGTCAAAACTTCATTAAAAAAATTTTAAGTCCTCCACTGTCGCATTCATGGTATATGTTGTCATAATTAAAAGACTCTAAAATTAAGGTAGTATCTCTAGAATTATAAAAGGCTACAGTTGAAGAATCTGTTAATTGGGAGAGCCATCAGGACTAGGCTTAACACATTAGAGTGGAGGTTTATCATATTCATCATGGGTTATTACATTGTCCCTACCATTGTCCTTTATTTTCCTAGAGTAGGATACTGGAAAGATGAATTTTCATTTTTTTTTGAGGGGGTACAGGAAGTAGGGGATGGAGGTAATATTCTAACTATGTATATATACATAGAGGTAAAGAGAGAAAGTTGCAGTAGGGGGAGATGCTTACTTAGAGATTGGGACAGAGGAGAATGGTGCCAAATTTGACAGGAACCAAAGCCTGCTTTAAAATTTTGCCTAGATATCTGTTGATAGATGTGGTTTAGTGTAGGAGGAGTGCTTGCTTAGGAGTTAGGCCATCTAGAACTGGAGCGTTGGTCCTGCCATTACTTAGTAGTGGTATGATTTTAGCTAATGTTTCCTCATCAGAAAAATGGCAATAAAGGAATATAGCCTACCATATGGAATTTTTCTGAAGTTCAAATTGGATACTGTATATAAATTGTAAAGAGCAATAAATATATGGTATTTTTATATGTGGATTCTGTCTACTGAATTTTTGCCTTGAAGAAACTCTTCCTCTCACTCGAATTCCACTCTCATATGGGGTAATTTTTTTTCCTTGAGTATATGTGGGAGAACCAAAACAGGGGGTGAAAAGGCATGAATGTGTCGTGATGGAGAGATTATGCACATTGATGAGTTTATAGATCCATTAAAGTACAGGGGAAGCTCTAGCTTGGCAAGAGCACTGGATGAGGATTTAGAGGATGTAGGTTCCAGTCTCAGCTCTGCATCAATTAGCTATGTTACCATAGGCCAGCCATATAACTTCTCTGGGCCTTACTTTCCTCATTAGTTGTATTATGAAGTTGAACCAGATGATCTAAGGACTCTTCTAGCTCCAAATCTTATTCTAATTATTACTCTTGATAAATCAGTGAATGAAACTGCTATAATACGTCATACAGAGCACAGGCATCATAATCACAGTGAACTATGTTATATAATGGGTTAACTATTTTTCCCTCAGTATGAGAATCTGTTGGAACATAAGTTCCATTGTCATAGTTTTCCAGGATCCAGAGCTACCCTCCATGCCATGATGAGGCTTTGGAGTATGATCTCTGTAGATGTAATGATGCTACATGGCTGTGACTTAGAATGTCATGGTCTTGGAATAGTCAACACTACAAGCAATCTTAAGAAAAATATGAAAAGGTGCATAATTTGCATAAGTGGTCTATAGAATGATATCAGATGTTATCAAGGACATTTTGACCAGAAAAAGAGTTGAGCTATTCATTTTGTGAAAATGAAAAATGGCAGAAGCAAACTAAATGCTACATTGCTACTTCACAAGTACCACTTCACAAGATACAAAAAGAACAGGAGGGAGGCCTCCAGCCTATTTTTTTTTTTATGAAAGATCTATGGAAAGAGATGGAAAAGAATGACTAAGAAGTCATGGAAAAGGGGCAACTAGGTGGCACAGTGAATAGAGCACTGGCCCTGGAGTCAGGAAGACATGAGTTCAAATCTTGCTTCTGACACTTGACACTTACTAGTTGTGTGACCCTGGGCAAGTCATTTAACCCCAATTGCCTTCTTCTCCCCCCCTCCAGCAACAACAGCAAAAGTCATGGAAAGGTTATGATAGGCATTTTTGTTGTAAATACAAACTGATGAAATCACACATTCACCAAAATATCAAGTTAGGAGTTAACTCTATATCAAATATATTTGTAGCTTTCTGGGTTGTAGGCAGATGTAGGCTTTATGTGTTATCTATTTTTGATTGTTTGGGTGTCTCCTTAGTGACATAATGTCTTTTATTTTTTTATAAATTAGCCACATAATGTAGATAAGATAGGTAGGAGTAAGTTTAGAGATTACTCAGTCCCAGTTTACACTTTAGTCTACTAGTGAAAATTTCTAATTATAAAAAGAAACTTGGACAAGGTGATTCCCAAATGTCTCCTAAATCCTAAAATCTTTTAAGTGGTGGCAATAATAGCAATCCATGTCTACTCCCTAGGCTGATAGTATAGAAATTAGACTTTGCACTGTTATTCCTGTCAAGAAGCCAGCCCTGGGCTTTTGGCATCCCGGACCTAAGGTCATTTTTGCTAGAGTGGCAACCTTTCTTGTAGGTGGTCAGGTGATATTTGCATTTTGGCCCCTAGCTTTTCACCTTTGCTGACATTCTAAATTTTCTTGATACTGAACTCCAGCTTGAAGAATCTTGCCTCTTAGGCCTTGTCCTGTTTCTTGATCTGTTTTGATACCAGGATAAAATTATATATGTATAATATGTATATATTATGTACATATATGTATATATGTATAAAGAATAAACTGTCCGATCAAGAACCCAGGGGAATGTAGCTGAAGTTCCCTAACCTTAGCTGGATTGTGGTGCTCTCTAGGGTGGAAGGCACTACTAGTTTGTCGAGTTCTAATTACTTTCAGCACTATTCTGCCTTCCATACTAATTTTGAGATTTGCTCATCTGAGTTCTCTGGATCAAACTTAATACTTCATTCTTTTAAGTTCTAGGTACAATTGAAAAGCTTCCTAATCA